GGGATTGTAGAGACAATACTTAAAATATATATCATGAGGAACCAAACTAAGGGTGAAATGTTATTATCTTAGTTTAGTTACTTGACGCATAAAGTAAAATGGGTTTGCATCCATATAAGTCATGCTACGAAGTTTTCGATTATGAAAACTCCTAGATTGATAAAATAGGGGGTAAAGATGAACACTAATATTCTTTCTACTATAATAGAAAAAATCGTGTATGACATGGTTTGTAGTAATACAAATTTAATATATGTGATTAGTATGGTAAGTCAGTTTGTGGAAAAAAAAGTCAGATTAAGTGAATTTGGAAACTTTAAAATTAATTTTGAGATACTTAAGTTGAACGAGTCAATGAAAGGAGGTCGAAAATACACAAGAGTAATTTAAGTGGAATATGTTTTAAAGGTTTTTGTTGATGCATATTATGCGAGAAAAGTAATCTGCAAGATGTTGGATCAAACTCTAATATGATCCTAGGGTAGCTTCTGGTTCGATAGGAATTAAGCACGAGGTTGAAGTATGTTCGCATGCTGCTATCGAAGTAATGCGTGTTGTAGTCGAAGTTTGTTATAACATGCATTAGTCAATATTGCTAGGTTGTTAGCATGTTGAATTGGGTTTTGCTTGTAAGCTCAATTGCTTAAGTTAGCTTGTACCCTAAGTTAACTTGTAATGGGTAATTGCTAAAAAGCTCATAGGTTAGTGTGTTATTTTTCTTATAAATAGGATGCTAGTTTCTCAATCTTGGCATAAGGAAAAATAGGAAGATAAAATCTTAATTTCAAGGGAGAGAGGTTATTTTGTTATTCTTGTATACTTTTAATCTTGTTCTAAGAGTAAGGAAAGAATAACAGTTTATAACCAATCCTTATTGTTCCTTGTTGTTTTACCTTGTTATATTTGTTAATCCTAACCCTTGTGTGTTTCTTGATCATAAAGAAATTGTTTATACTTTTTTTCAAGGTATCTGATTCATAATAAATTGGTGCGGTGAGCGTGGAAAAGATGTTTTCAACAAAGTATGAGATTGAAAAGTTCACTGGAGTGGACGATTTTGGTCTGTGGCGCTTGAAGATAAAAGTCCTACTGGTTCAACAGGGTTGTTTGAAAGTGTTTAAGGGAGAGGCAACCATGGACGTTGCATTAATGGCAAAAGAAAAGATGGGCATTATTGAGAAAGCTACAACGCAATATTGTTGAGCCTTGGTGATAAGGTTCTTCGACAGGTATCAAAGGAGACTACAACATCGGGATTATGGGTGAAACTTGAAAGTTTGTACATGACCAAATCTATGGTGAATCGACTCTACCTGAAGCAAGTTTTGTATTCATTCAAGAAGAGTGAAGACAAAGTGTTGGCTGAGTAGTTGGATATGTTCAACAAGCTGATTCTTGATCTTTAAAATAGTGATGTGAAGATCGATGATAAAGATCAAACACTGTTGTTATTGTCTGATTTGCCCATAACACATGCTCAGTTCCAAGAAACTCTGTTGTATGGAAGGAAGTCCCTGACCTTTGAAGAAGTTCAATCAGCCTTGTATTCTAAGAACTTGAACAAATAAAAGGAGCATAAACCTTCAACGGTGGGCGAAGGTTTGGCCATTAAGGGAAAATTCTTGTGAAAGGATGGTAAGTTCGACAAGAAGAAAGGTAAAAGTCAACAGAAGTCTTATAGTGGCGAAACATCTGGTATTCAATGTTATCACTGTAAGAAGGAGGAGCATACAAGAAAGGTGTACCCTGAACGCCAGAAAGATTATGAAGGTAATGACAACACAACCATTGTTCAAGATGACTTTGACTCATCTGATGTTCTTGTGGTTTCAAGTGGCGACTCGAGAAAAGAGTGGGTTATGGATTCAGGTTGCGCTTGACACATGACTCTAAAGAAAGAATTTTTCAAGGAGATATATGATCAAGATGGTGAATCTGTGCAGCTGGGAAACAACAAATCTTGCAAAATTGAAGGTATTGGATATGTGAAATTCAAGCTCCATGATGAGTCAATAAGGTTATTGACTGAAGTCAGGTATATACCTTACTTGAAGAGAAATTTGATTTCTCTTGGTGAATTTGACAGAAAGGGGTACATTTTTCAAGGAGAGAAAAGTATCCTAAGAGTCATGAAGGAGTCGAAGGAAGTCTTAAGAGGCATGAAGAAACAAGGCTTGTATACCCTCGAGGTTGAGGTTGTAAGTGGTTTGACAAATGTTTCATCCATGAAACTTATGCCGAAGACAGAATTATGGCACATGAGATTGGGCCATGTCAGCAAAAGAGGCTTGGTCGAATTGAGGAAGCAGAACCTGCTAGGTGGTGACAAAGTCAAAAAGTTGGAGTTTTGTGAATCTTGTGTATTTGGTAAATCCTGTAGGGCGAAGTTTAAGAAAGGCAAACAAATAACACATGGATCCCTAGATTACATTCATGCTGATTTTTGGAGGCCTATAAGGAATCCTTCACACTCAAGTGCAAGGTATTTTCTATCCATTGTTGATGACTATTCCAGAAAGCTATGGGTATTCATTCAGAAGACGAAGGATGAAACTTTTGAGAATTTCAAAAGTTGGAAGATTCTGGTTGAAACTCAAATTGGCAAAAAGGTTAAAAGGTTGAGAGCTGACAATGGCCTTAAATTCTGCAATGAAGCGTTTGACAATTACTGTGTTGAGTCTGGTATTGCAAGGCATAAGACTGTAGCAAGAACTCCTTAACAAAATGGCTTAGCTGAGAGATTCAATCGAACAATCCTTGAAAGGTTAGATGCATGTTGGTTAGTGCTGGATTGAAGAAGGTGTTTTGGATGAAGGTTGTTTCGACAGTAGCTTACCTGATAAATAGATGTCCCTCGACTTCCTTGGGAATGAAGACACCTGAAAAAGTTTGGTCTGGATATCCACCTAGTCTCGACAAACTGAGAGTATTTGGTTGTGTGACCTATGCTCATATTAGTCAAGACAAGGTCAAACATAAAGCTCTGAAATGCATGTTCATGGGATACCCTGAAGAAATAAAAGTTTATAAGCTATGGTGCCTAGAGCCAGGTCACAAAAGGTGTGTCACCAGTCGAGATGTAGTTTTCAATGAAGTAAAGACGACTTTCAAGAAAACTGATGATGCTGACAAAGAGTTGGAACAGAGTCTTAATTTATGGTGGAATCTTGGGTGAAGATAGTAAAATAGCAATCAATGGATATGTTGACTCTGTTTATGCAGGGTGGATTCTTGGGATTGACATCCGAAGAGATAAAAAGCATTCAAAATTATGCTTATCTCAAGAGGCATACCTTCGGAAGATTCTCGAAAAGTTTGGTATGTCGAATTCAAAACCTGTTGTGACTCCGACAAACCATTAATTCAAGATGAGTATAAATTAGTGTCCCAATATTGATGTCGAAAGAGCTTATATAGTTAACATCCCATATGCTAATATATTGGGTTCTTTGATGTATGTTATGGTTTGTACTAGACCCGACATAACATATGCAGTAAGTCTTGTAAGCAGGTACATGGTGAATCCTAGAAAGACTCATTGGCAAGCATTGAAGTGGATTCTAAGGTACATAAATGGGTCTCTTAATAGAGTCCTAATTTATGGTGGAGCCTTGGGTGAAGATAGTAAAACAACAACCAAATTTTGTTCACATGTTGCTGATATGATCACCAAGATGATGCCCAGTTGTAAGTTTTTCCACTGTATGCAGTTGATAATGCTGCACGAAGAAAGCTAGGTTCTTGATTCTATAGAGTTAGATCCAAGGTGGATATTTTTTATATGTTGGATCAAACTATAGTATGGTCGAAGGGTAGCTTCTGATTTAATAGGAATTAAGCATGAGGTCGAAGTATGTTCGCATTCTGTTGTCGGAGTAATACGTGTTATAGTCGAAGTTTGTTCTAACATGCATTAGTCAATATTTCTAGGTTGTTAGCTTGTTGACTTAGACCTTGCTTGTAAGCCCAACTATTTAAGTTAGCTTGTACCCTAAGTTATCTTGTAATGGGTAACTATTAAAAAGCCTATTAGGTTAGTGTGCTATTTTTCTTATAAATAGGACACTAGTTTCTCATCTTGGCATAAGAAAAAATAGGTAGATAAAATTCTAATTTCAAGAGAGAGAGGTTATTTTGTTATTCTTGTATACTAGTAATTTTGTTCTAAGAGTAAGGAAAGAATATCAGTTTATAACCAATCCTTGTTGTTCCTTGTTGTTTTATCTTGTTATCTTTGTTAACCCTGACCCTTGTGTGTTTCTTGATCATAAAGAAATTGTTTATACTTTGTTTTAAGGTATCTGATTCACAACATGATCATTAGGAAAAATTTATCGTGTTTCTTGTTTACGTTGTTTATAACGACTATTAGTTGGAATACATATCAATAGTTAGTTGTGAAGTTATCTACACTTTAAGCGGATTACAATTCCATTGTTGAAAAGGTGAAGGAATCCATATGGTTGAAGGGTGTGATTGGGAGTTAGGAATTACTCAAAGGTGTGTAAAGGTGCATTATGATTGACAAAGTGAAAATCAACTAGAAATCATCAAGAATGTCCTGAAAGGTCAAAACACATTGACATCCTTTTACTCAAAAAATAAAAATGTGATATAATCTAAAGAAACTGTGTTTGAGAAGGTTTCTTCATGAGACAACCAGTTAGATGTGTTCGCACAGTGAAACTGAATTAAAGTTTAAGCGTACTTAATCAAGTTTCTTGAAGAGTAACTTTAGTTGGGAGAGAGAGCAAATGGTTAAAGGATAAATGTTGAGCAACGCTGCTAGTTTAAAGTCTAGGTAGAGTCTTGTGGTGAAAATTTTGAATCATGTTCATGTTGTGAAATTGAAGTTTTTGGTTTCCTACATAGGTTGATTTGAATCAACCATTTAGGTAGGGTTCAAATCTTATTGTTTTCCTATATTTGAAATAGTTTTGCATATTTAGTTAGGAGAAAATGTAAGAAAACACTAAAGAGTTTGGTTACAAAATTGCAACTCACCTTCCTAAAAATAGTGGCTCATCCAATAGTATCACAGAACCAATGGTGGCAATAACAAAACTGAGTGGGTTCCAAGTTGCTGGAAAAACGGGTCCTTTCTTCTCAATCACCAATGCTTGCAAATAATATGAAACTGCGGTCACTAGTATCCCCTGTTACATTAAGGGTAAAATATACATCATAATCATAATTTGACGTCATTAAGTCATTTCCGTCTAATTCTCACAAACCATGTCCATATTCCAAAGATTCAAACCCTCGCCTTTGAGGATTAAGGGGGAAATGGCTAACCATATGGTCTACATGTCTATTACAAAATTATTTCAAATGTTTTATATGTATAAACAAACAATTATAAATTAAACAACTTTAAACCTAGATTTCAAATTGATATTTTAGATATTAATTTGATATTAAAACCCGTTTTTCATTCTAAATTAATATTTAATATTCAAATTCATAAATTAGTTAGTAAATTCAGTTTCAGAGCTCAAAAGAAAGAAAAAGAAGAAGAAAACCATAGTCTGAGCACAAGTAACAACTCAGTAGCACTCAGAACTACTAAAAGTTGCAAAACAACTGCAAAATAACCAATTTGAAACTAAAACTGACCCATCATTTCAAATTGATTCAAAATTTAAATCACTTCATAAAAATTGAAACTAAAACCGACCCGCCACTCCCTATCTCGCCTACAACCACCATATTCGTTACAAATAATATGTTTTCCTTCATCCATCTCCTCCGTCATAGATCCGGTCCACCAAAGACAAACCACCACACCACTAACGGTTGCCGCCACACCTATCTCTCTTTTGATTTTGAATTTTCAAGTTTTTTAATTTTAATTCCCACACAATCGTACATCTTTCTCTTTCTATTTTAATTTTCAAATTTTTTCTAATTTTGATTTTCTCTTTCTCCTTTCAACATGTGAATAGAAGCTCAGATTTCTTTTATTTTTGTGTGAGTGTGAAAGGAGAAACATTAGCACCTAATTAAAAAGGATATTTGACCAATTACCACGTCAGCGCCATTTGACAATTGAACTTACTTTGACTAATACATTTAACAGAAAAGTTAAACGTGACACATTTTTAATAGATAAATGATTAAACCTGTTACTTTAAAAAAAATGGCCAACTAGAATCTGAGATATACTTAAGAGAAAAAAAAAATATTTTGTCAATTTTGTTTTATATTTTTTCCTTATTATTTTTAAAAAAAATTTAAGTGAAAAATATTAAATATTACTAACATTCTTGCGAGCATCAAAATAGAATATGACTTACACAATAAACAACAGCTAATAGCCTCATGTTCCAACCCAACTTCCACTGCTCAAAATCTCTTTCAAAAGCAATGGCAATACCAAATGACTGAATAGCACTTGATACACTCTGAATGCTCATGAATGTTAGCTTTGAAGGGTAACTTTTAAGTAACTGAGACTGTTTTCATCAGACAAAAACAAAACAATATAACTATTCTATGATTGCCTCACATAATAATAAACAAACAAAAAAGAAAGTTACCTGAAGTACCAGCCACAAGCTCCACATGGTGGTGGATAGGAACAACAGTAAAGAACCAAATATCCATTTATTATTATATGATAAATGATCTTTAGGTTGTCGATCATCACGATGATGATCAACAATATGCAGTTGAGGCCCCTTGTAAAACGCCAATATCGATACACCTCCCATGCAAAATAATACACTTCCTATCTTTACGATTCCAGATCTCGTCCTTAAATTTACTTTCTCTATCCTACAATATATCATGAGCAACTCATAATTATATAAATTTTATATATACAGAAATAGCAGACAAACGGATAACAAATAACAAATTTACCTGAGAAGAACAGCGAAGAAGAATGTAGAAGCGGGAAGACAGTTAACTATTGCCGCAGCCAACATAGCAGAAGTATAAGTAAGGGCAATACCATGAACATTCAAAGCTAAAGTAAGTCTGAAAAACAACCAAGTCGGGTTATAATTTATAAACCTAATTAGTTTTAAAATTCTTCGCTAATAATTATAGAGTTTAGAGAAGATTAATGTTCTACGTACCCCAATAAAGACAGCATGAAAATCTTGAAGATGGCCATAAACGAGAACGTCACAGGCACAGCTTGTTTTCTAAACCATATAACAAAATATATTATTATAGAAAAAATCAAATAAAATATAAGCTAAAAAAAGAAAAAAAATTAAAATATTACCGTTCAAATATCAAAGATAAAGCAACCATGATAATGGCTCCAATGAGTTGTCGATAAAAAACAAACACAGATGTTTTCATTCCTCCGTTAAACACGGATTTAGACAGTAAAGTCATACCAGAATATATGAATTGTATAAAAAACATTGCTAAATATGGACCTAATTGTTCACTCATATTTGATAGTAAAAATGTATATGAATGAAGTGTTGATTAGTGATTATAAGTTATGAATGATGTTCAGGTATATATAGTTTTAAATGCGTTGTTTAGTTCCATAAAAAGGAAATAGTGCACGTGAAATAAGGGGTAAATATTTATTTGTGCTTTGATGAAATCACAGGTTGATTAGAAATCTCAGTGGTGTATCTATTCCCATAGCACTTTTATTTTTTTATTGATTATTTCATATAGCATCTAATCTTTCGGTTTTTTAGGGGGGAAAGTAATAATTTAATAAAACAACTGGTAACATTCCTTAATTATTTCGTTGGAAAGAAATTATAATTATTTGTGCTTTTTTCATTTTTGTGTTTGTTGTCTATTATTTTATTGAAAATATATATGTTGCTTAGTTTAAAAGAAAAAAATAGTAAGGGCAAGTTTGTTTTGGCTATTTTTTTTATAATTATTTTTTTATAGTGGTATATAATTATGTTTAAAAGTATTTTGTAAATTTATTTTAATAAAAAGTTTCAAATAAAAAGTTAGCTTAAATAGTTTTTTTATAAAAATGTTATTTTAAGTATTTTATTTTTTATTATAATTTTTTTAAATATCAAAGTTTTGTAAAAAAATCACTTAAATAATTTGAGCTATTTTGAACAATTTTTCGTAAAAATTATTTATTAGATTTTTTTTTTAATTATTTGATTTTAGTTATATTTTAATTTTTAATAATGTATTTTATGTTGTTGAATGTCAAAGTAAGTCTTTTAGCTTAAAAGAAATGAATTAATTTTTTTTACTATTTTAATTTTTTTTCATAAAAATTTATTTTTTTCACCACCAATATCCGGTTCATTAGACTGATTAATTAAGTTCGGGAACGAGTTTTGATATCAGGTGATTACCTTTTAATCGCAGTTGTGAGGAGTTAAACTGTGATCCTCCTTATTAAGTTCAGTGTCAATCACCACTAAATTAATTAATAATTAATAAAAAAAATCTTTAAAATTTTTTTTATAGTGAATACGTTTAATGAAATAAATACAAGTATTAATTAATATAAAAATATTTGTTGGAAATAATCAGGGCCGGCCCAATCAATCTGGAGGCCCTGTTTTAATTTAATAAATAGGCCTAAATCTAAAATATATATATATAATTTAATAATAAAAAAATACACTAAAAATTCAAAGTATTGTTTAAACTAATAATATCTTTTTATACAATATAAAGTTTCTAACTACTTAAAAAGAGCCTTCCTCCTAACACTTTTTGAAGCAAATTCATCAACCAAATCTTCATATTTTACTGTCTCCAAAAGATCATTTTCAACTGCTATCAACGCCAATCCGTTAAGTCTTTCTTGTGACATGGTAGACCGCAAGTAAGTCTTTAACAACTTTAATTTTGAAAAGCTTCTTTCTGCAGAAGCAACTGTCACAGGAATAGTCAACAAAATTCTATATGCAATAACTGTATTAGGAAAACAATCCAAGCCTTTTGAAAATAATAATATATCAGTAGGTCTTATGATTTCTTCAGGCAACATTTGTCTTAGTAACTTTAATTCCTCAAAAAATTCATTCCCGTCAATGTCAGATTGCTCATTATGTTTCAGTACTCGTTCAAAGTTACTACAAAAAGACTTCAAAGTTGCATCATCCAATGATTGTAACTTGTGAGAAGTAAACAAGAAACCAAAAATACTTTCATACTCTTGGTATTGCTCAAATCTCTTATTAAGAGAAACAACAGCTTGATCAACAAGGTAAAGAAAATAATTAACCCTGAAAGATTCCTCTTCAGATAGCTCGACTGCTGGTGTATTCAAATTCTCATCAAACTGTCTTTTTCTTTTAATTATACGCCTTTGAGGAAATATTGGAGCGATATTCAATTCAACCGCAATTTCCTTAGCATTAACCAATGCCTTATGAAAACCTGTTTCTCTATATCCTTCAAAAAATGAAATCAACTCCTTTATTTTTTCCATAGCAACATCAATAAGCATATCCTTTTCCTGTAAAAGCTTGCTAACAAAATTAATTGCAGATAATATTTCAAACCAAATAATTATAGCCATCAAAAATTCAAAATCACCAAGCTCATTAGTTGCTAAGGATTTAGCTTCATTTTGTATCTTAGGATCGAGATCATGTTCTGACACTTCAAGTAAAGCTTCTGTAAAATCTGACATTTGAGTTCTTATAGCTTTGACACTTTCAACACGACTTTCCCAACGAGTGGATGATAATGATTTTGGAGTCAACCCTTTTACATTATCTTTCAAAATTTGCCATCTCTTTGTTGAATTAGCAAAAATTGTGTAAATGCGTTGAACAACTCCAAAAAAATTCCTAGCTTTATTACAAGAGTTAGCCATATCACACAATGTCAAATTAAGACTATGACAACCACAAGGAGTATAAAAAGCTCTTGGATTTATGTCTAAAAATCGCTTTTGTACACCTTGATGTTTTCCTTTCATATTTGACCCATTATCATAACCTTGTCCTCTTACATCAAATAGGTCGAGACCAAGTTCTTTCAATTCATTTTGTAAAACATCAAAAAGCCCTTGACCAGTTGTATCATTCACATTCAAAAATCCTAAAAATGATTCCTCAATGCTAATAGAAGTTGAAGAAACATCCACATATCTTATTATCAAAGACATTTGCTCTCGGTGACTAACATCCGGAGTACAATCAAGTATTACTGAGAAATACTTTGCTTGTTTGATTTTTCTAATGATTTCAATTTTAATTGCAGAACCAAGTAATGAAATCAACTCATTTTGTATTTTATGTCCAAGATAATGAGTGTGAACTTTTTGAGTTGTAACACGTCTAACATGTTCTTGGATAATTGGGTCAAATTCAGCTAACATTTCAATCAAACCCAAAAAGTTGCCATTGCTATCTTCGTACAACTTTTCCTTAGAACCACGAAATGCCAAATTATGTTTAGCAAGAAATTTCACTATTGAAATAACTCTTTTTAAAACATTTTTCCAGTGATCCTTTTCTTTCTCAATTAATCTTTGAGTCGTTTTATCAATAGTTTGAAATTTCTGCAACCTTTGACGATACTCATACCAAGTAGTCATATTCTTAACATGTTCCATGCCTAACTCGTGCTCTTTAATTCTTGCACCAACATGTGACCAATCACTATAACCCTCATTTGCTAATTGTCCCCTACCAATCCCATTTTTTAAAACTTTACAACAGAAACAAAATACTCTATCAAGCTCTTTTGAATAAACAAGCCAATCTCTATCACACTTCTCTCCATTTGCTAAAGCTCTAGTATACAAATTAGTCGTAAAGCGTCGATTCCAATTATCTCTAGGACCCCTCACAATAGAATTATCCCGTTTAGGCCCTTTCATAACTAATAAATCAATCATTTTAGGTTGAAGACGATCCCAATTTCTTGGATCAAATATATCGTAATCAACATCATCATCATCATCATCATCATCATTAACTTCCTCAATATTATCATCATCATTATTAACTTCATCATCGATAGGTACACTATCAGCATTATCATTTTCAATAGGCACACTATCAACATTATCATTTTCAATGGGCACACTATCAAGAATTTCAACATTAGTATTATCAACATAATGACTTTCATTTGAAACTTGTGGTTCTTTTATCAAAAATTTATCAAGAGCTCCTGCTTGAGATTGAATTAACTCTTCAATTTTTTTCCTTTTCTTACGTTTATCATTTCCACATTCATACTTTCTATTCTTAGGAGGCATAATAGGAGGCATAGTAAAAAAAAACCTGGAATATCTCACAATGTCTTGTGTCCGCCAATGATCAACTCTGCAATATTTACTAGCAATCGATCTATTTGTAGCCTCGTTGTTAAATTAAGTTCCTACAATAAATTATTAATTAGTGCAAGCAAAAATAGTACCAGAAAAAAAAAACATGTTTGTAATCATCATAAAATGGGATTATTATTTATTAATAATACTTTAATTATATTATCACTATTTTTACTAACACTACTATGAAATATACAGAAAATAAAATGCTCCAAAATTAATTATTTTTAATTTAATCTTACTGTTGTTGATATTTTCTATTACAATTAATTCTAAATTTTAGATTCTATCATAAACTATTGTCTATTGAGATAATTGAATGAGTCACACACATAGAAATGACATACTCTTGACACAACAATATAAAAAGCACTTCTTTGACAGCTTGCAATCTTTCTATCACACTTCTTTGACAACTTGCAACCTTTCTACTTTTCAATTAGTTTTTAATATGAACTAATCAAAACTCAAAAGTATAAAGTAATAAAAAAATACAAAATAATCTCATAACTCATTATTCTACTTATACCATTTATTTGACAGCTACTACTCGGCACTCACTATTCTCTATTCATTTCTCCATCTCTATTCTTTTCTTCTTTCTTCTTTGAAACCTAACTTAACCCATTTCTTCTTTTCTTTTTACAGTAAAATTAACTCAACCAATTTTAGAATTTTAGGAGAAAAAAAACACAATAGAGCCATGGGAGAAAGAATCATAAACCAAGAAACACATACAAGTTTCTATCTATGTATGTTCTTTCTTTAATTTTATATTTTTTTTCTTTCAAAACATGAAGATAAACTACTTTGATTTGAACAAACTTACCGATTAAACTGCACTGCCGTCGTCTCACACTCTCACCGTCGCCGTTTTGTTTTTTTCTTTCTAATATTGTTTTGTTTTTGGTTTATTATGTGATGTATATAAACAACTTTGTTTTGGGTTTCTTTAATGCCGACGTTTCATTTTCCTTGGCGTCTTTTCGGTTTTAGGTTGCGTTTGGAATGAGGAAAAATAATATATATTTTAAATTTTTTCATATTAATTAGATTTCAAAAAAAAAAAATAGGCCCCCAAAATTTTGGGGACCAGTTCCATAGAGCCTGTTGCGCCTGTGAAAGGCCGGCCCTGGAAATAATGTATTATTAGCTTTAT